GTCTGTACAAAAAATGGAAAAATGTCCTCGGATGAGGATAAAAAAAAAAAGGAAGAGAGATAACCCAAATAAATAAAATCAGAAGTGAAAGATAACAACCGACACCACAGAAATATAAAGGGTTATAAGAAAATACTGTGAACAATTATATGCCAACAAAATGGACAACCTGAAAGAAATGGATACATTCCTAGAAACATACACTCTTCCAAGAGTGAACAAGAAGAAACTCTGAACAGACTGATTACAACTAATGAACTCAAAAGAGTAATCAAAAATCTCCTAACAAACAAAAAAAAGTCCTGGATCAAATGGCTTCACAGGTGTGTTTTACCAAACATTCAAAGGCAAACTAACACCTATCCTTCTCAAACTATTTCAAATAATTGAAGAGGAGGGAAGCCTTCAAAACTCATTTTATGAGTCCAGCATTACCCTGATTCCAAAACCAGACAAACACTTTACAAAAGAGAAAATTATAGGCCAATATCCTTGATGAACATAGATGCAAAAATCCTCAACAACATATTAGCAAACCGAATTCGGCAATACAGTAAATGGATCATACACCATGATAAACTGGGATTCATTCCTGGGAATAGAGGAAACATACTTTAACATAATAAGGGTCATACATGACAAACCCATAGCTAACATCACACTCAGCAGTAAAAGGCTAAAAGTATTTCCTTAAAATCAGAAACAAGTAAAGGATGTCCACTTTTGCCACTTCTATTTAACATAGTATTGGAAGTCCTAACTACAGCAATCAGACAAGAAAAAGAAATAAAAGGCATCCAGATTGGAAAGGAAGAAGTAAAACTGTCATTATTTGCAGATGATATAATACCATACACAGAAAATCCTAAAGAGTCCACCAAATATATTAGAACTGATAAATGAATTCAGTAAAGCAACAGGATAAAAAAAAGTAACATTCAGAAATTGGCTGCATTGTTATATATCAATAATGAACCATCAGAAAAATAAATTAAGAAAACATTTAGAACCACATAAAAAATACCTAGGGATAAATTTAAACAAGGAGGTAAAATATCTGTACTCAGAAAATTATAAACTATTGAAGTTGATACAAATAAATGGAAGCATATATTGTGCTCATGGATAGGAAGAATTGGCATCATTAAAATGTCCATATCACCCAAAGCAATCTATAGATTCAATACAATCTCTATCAAAATACCAATGTCATTTTTTTGTTTTACAAAACTAGAACAAAAAATCCAAAAATTTATATGGAACCACAAAAGACCCCAAATTGTCACAGCAATTTTGAGAAAGAACAAAGTTGGAGGTTTCATGCTACCTGATATCAAACTGTACTATAAAGTTATAGCTATGTTACTGCCTAGGCCCTAAGAGAAAACATAGGCAGTAAACTCTCTGACATTGCTCTTAGTAATATTATTTCTGATTACTCTCCTTAGGCACAAGAAACAAAAGAAAAAAAAAAGGAAAAAAATTTTGCATGGCAAAGGAAACCATTAACAAAATGAAAGAGAACCTAATGAATATGTAAAAAGATATTTACCAATGATACATCTAATAAAGGGTTATTATCCAAAACTTATAAAGAACTTATACCACTCAACAACAATAAAATCCAATTAAAAATAAGTAAAGGACCTGCATAGACATTTCTCCAAAGAGGATATACAGATGGCCAGTAGACATATTAAAAGATGCTCAATGTCACTAATCATCAAAAACTGCAAATTAAAATAATAATGAGATATCACCTCACACCTGTCAGAATGGTCGTTATCAACAAATCATCAAACAAGTGTTGGCGAGGGTGTGGAAAAAAGGGGACCCTAGTATACTGCTGGTGGGAATGCAGACTGATGCAGCCACTATGGAAAACAATATGGTGTTACCTCAAAAAATTAAAAATTGAACTGCCATTTGACCCAGGGATCCCACTTCTAGGAATATACCCTAAGAAGCCTCAAACACCAATCAGAAAGAATATATGTACCCCCATGTTCACAGCAACACTATTTACAATAGCTAAGATCTGGAAACAGCCCAAATGTCCATCAGTAGACGAATGGATCAAAAAGCCATGGTACATATACACATATGCAGCTGTAAGAAAGAAAGATCTCTTATTCTTTGAGACGACATGGAGGGACCTGGAAAGTATTATCCTAAGCGAAACAAGCCAAGCAGAAAAAGACAAATATCACATGATCTCACTTATTTATGGAATATAATGAACATAACAGTCTGAGAAATTGGGTAGAGCCAAAGACGTGAAAGTGGGGTACAGACTGACAACCCTCAGAAGAGGGGGTGGTGGAGGAGGGAAGAGATAAACCACAGAACTTAAATGCATGTATGCGTAACCGATGGACATGGACAACGAAGCCGGGGACAGGGCGAGGGGGATGGGGAGGAGGGTGTCAATGGGGTAAAAAAGGAGAAACATCTGTAACAAAAATAAAATAAATAAATAAATAAATAAATAAATAAAAAGGAATTGAACCCGTGACCCTTCAGTCTTAGGCTGACGCTCTAACTACTGAGCCAAACCAGCCAGGGCCAGAGAACATTTTGATGGTTGCCAGATGCAAGGGGGAACGGGGCTGGGTGAAAATGATGAAGGGATTAAGAATTACAAATTGATAGTTACAAAATAGTCAAGGGGGATGTAAAGTATAGCACAGGGAATATAGTCAATAATACTGTAATACTATGCTATGTATGGTGTCATATGGGTACTAGATTTATTGGGGGGATTACTTTGTAAGTTATATAAACGTGTAACCACTATGCTTTATATCTGAAACTAAGATAATATTGAATGTCAATTGTAATTGAAAGAAATTTTAAATTTAGCATTTAATCTTTTCCCTAATACTTTTTTTTAAATCATTATTTGTTGTATAAAGAAAATGTAAAGAAATTTTTCACTAAGTCCTATGTAGATGCCACAAAATCCACTCCTGTTTACCCCAATAAGGCATATGAATATTAACATTTTCTGTGTGGGCCATGATGGAAACAGATTTGAGAACTGCTATGCATAATGCCTATTAGTGTCTTAAATTGTTTTTAATCTGCTTATCTGAGTGTCCTCCTAACAATATCTACTTTCATACGTGTATATATATATGTGTGAGTATGTATGTGTAGGTGTATCTTGCAAATTTTCTTGGAGGAAAATATATTTTATATTAACATTGATTCAGTTCCAGGAACTGTCTGAAGTGCTTTACATTTATAAACATACTTAATCGTCGCCACAAACCTATGAGTCAGATTTTTTTTATCCCCATTTAATGAATGAAAATGAGACAAAGCCACAAATAACTTGCCCAAAATCACCCTGCTAGTAATTGGTGGAGCTAAAGAAGGATTAATTAACTGCTTGATAAACATTCTCCATTATTATGTTCATTAAAAGTAATGTTGAATTGCTTAGAACATTTAATCTATTTCAACTTCTATGTTTATGTTTTATTTAAATGATTTATTTATTTATTTATTTATTTATTTAATCCTCACCCGAGGACATTTTTCCATTTTTTGTACAGACAGAGTGGGAGGGAGAGAGAGGAAGAGAGAGAGAGAGAAACATCGATGTGAAAGGGACACATCGAGTGGCTGCCACCCGCACGACCAACCAGGGCCGGGGACAAACTGCAACCAAGGTACATGCCCTTAGCGGGAACCGAACCCGGGTCTCTCCGGACCGCAGGCGGGCACTCTAACCGCTGAGCCAAACCGGCCAGGGCTAAATGATTTATTTTGAAACAAGCTTTTTCTACTTTATTTTATTCTGGTAAAAATTCTTAACACGCTATTTAAATAGCTAAGATCTGGAAATAGCCCAAGTGCCCATCAGTAGATGAGTGGATAAAAAAGCTGTGGTACATGTACACAATGGAACACTATGCAGCTGTAAGAAAGAAGGATCTCTTACCATTTGAGACGACACGATAGGACCTGGAAAGTATTATGCTAAGCAAAATAAGCCAATCAGAGAAAGACAAATATGACGTGATCTCACTTATTTGTGGAATATAATGAACAAAATAAGCTGATGAACAAAATAAATCCAGAGACATGGAAGTAGGGAATAGGAGAACAAACCTCAGAGAGAAAGGGATGGGGGTGGTGGGGCAGGAAGAGATAAACCAAAGAACTTACATGCATATATGCACAACCAGTAGACAAAGACTACGAAATGGTGAAGTGGGGAGTGTGGGAGCAGGAAGGAGGATGTCAAAGGGAGAAAAAAGAGGAACATCTGTAATAAAAAATTTAATAACTTAAGTGTTAAAAAAAAATGTATGAACCACAAAAAAAGAACAAAAGAATACTTAACCAGAGATTTACCCATTTGACACATTTTTAAGTGCACGAAGCAGTACTGTTAACTATAGGTGCTGTATTGTAGAGCAGCTCTCTAGAATTTATTCATCTCCCACAACTAAAACTTTATACTGTTGGACAACTCACCATTTCCCCTTCTTTGAATATGTGTCCACTTGTACTCTGTTCCCCTGTTCATTCCTATGCTGCATGAATATTTTTCGCTTGTCATTATTACTGCTATCATGGTATGACTCGCCAAATGCCATTTATGCTTTGAAATATTAAGTGCTCATTTGTTATGTTATGTTTGTATTAATAAAAATTGTGTATAATAGCCCTGGCCGGTTTGGCTCAACGGTTAGAGCATTGGCTCGTGGACCAGAGAGATCCGGGTTTGGTTCCCGCTAAGGGCACATACTCTCAAAAAAAAATGTGCATAATAAAAATTATATAATGCATTGAAAACTTTTCATAAGACCACTACTATGGATGTAGCAAATTCTTGTAAAGGACTTGCATTTCATTCGAGCAGTGTCCATATAAAAGCTCTGTTAAGAACAAGAATGCTTTCTCTTTTCACACTGAGGCCTACTCTCCACAGACACAATGCAGTTTTGACAATGTATGCATTCCGGCAACCCAAACCCAGGAAATACCTGTGTATTGATGTATAATGTTGGTCCACTTCTGTAAGCGGCGGCTCTCAGGGCTGAATTTGAAAAATATGTCATAGTGATAGAAGAAACTGTACATGCACTTAAGGATGATTTCGAGGCATTCAGTCAACCCTTCGATAAAACGATTATGGGTGCTAGAGAGAAAGGGGGGATAATATATCAGTAAGTGACTCAGATAATGGCAAATGTCTTTTTGCCCTTCTGTCACTAACCTGTTTATTTGGCAGTTGGTCTCCTGGCTAAAAGTACATTTCATGAGTGTGTCCAGGCTCATCAAGTTGATGTCCTTAAAGACCTCCACAACTGTCTCCTGAGTGCCACAAGTCTTCTCCCATTTCCCCTGGCACAGGAAATCAAGATCAACAACATCATCATCAAAGTGCCTTTATCTGACCCTGCACTTATGATGTAATGGAGACAACTCTGACCTAGCAGGAGCCGAAATTCAGACAAGCAAATAAACTAAATGTTCACTTGGCATCAGGAAAGGGGGAAAATGTACCCAGCTGGGTGAGAAAGAGCATGGAGCAAACCAGATATCCAGTAAATGGCTGAATTAAATATCATTGGTCTTACAACTATTACCGTAACTCTGCTTTAAAACAGATCAGAGTTCCAGTAAAACAGATCATCTCTGATACAAGACCCATAATTACAGGGAGTCTCTCCCCAGGGCTTCCTCTACCATCTTCAGTGCCCAAACTGTTAGACAGCCCACCCCATCACTACTTGCAACCACCATAATCACACTTAAGATAAACTTAGAACATTAAAAGTAAAAATAAAATAAATCTAAGTGTTTAAGTTCTGATCAACTGACATTTATTGAGCACCTATGCCTATAGCTATGTGCTAAGAATTTGGAGGCAAAGAGATGTTTCTAAAGCTTTTACCTAAGTGTCAACTATTTGATCAATTGCTCCCACCCCGAATTAAGTAAGTTTTACTGAGTACAGAAGTGAGTTTAGAAGAAATGAGAGCAAAGGAGAGGCTCGAAGTTGGAGGCACTTTGGCACATTTCAGCAGAGGGAGGAGCTGTGAGAGGGACCTCAGGGAACTGTGGGACTGAGAAGTAAGGGACACAAAAGTGGCTTATTGAAATGGCGATAAACTCAAATGCCACCACTGGCTGATATGCAATGGTGTGGAAAGCTGCCCAGTACCAGCATCAGAAGAGCACACCCCCTCCCATGCTAACCTGCACCTCAAGCTCTCTGCTTCGGCAACTCACACTGCTATTTACTTTCACCACAGTCCCAGCAGACTTGAGGTTAAATCTGCTTCCGTGAGCTGGGCTGAGAACCCAGCCAATCAACAGTTCTCTCTTGTGGAAAGGGATAGGCTTGCAGAGGAAAGTGGAAGAAAACTTTGGCTTTGTTTGTGGTGTTGGAAGTGTTCATGATGAAACTGTTTTAGCTCATTACTAGTCTGATTTTTAAATAGGTACAATTAAAAAATTTATCATGCACAAGTGGAGTTTTGGAATAGAACCCATTTATAAATCAGGGACTACCAATAGGATCATTGTCCCGCAACCTCCTCCTGCCCCTTCGGAAGGGTCTAAGTCAGCTCCTAATGACCCCCTGTTATCTGCAAGAGTAAACTCACATCTGTGACTGTAATGTAGACCCTTATCAGTTGCCAGGTCATTTATGGCCATCAGGTAAGTCCATTCTAATCTCCAAATGTTTGTTCACACTAACTCACTCTGCCTAAATTCTCTCATTCATATTATTCACATATTCAAGCCCAGCTCATATCTCATGATAAATCTGAGTCTCCTCTGAATCTGAAGCAATTATAGCTACTCTGGATTTCTTTACCTGTCACCTACAGCATTTACCATTTGAATCTGACTACTTTGATTTACTGCCATAGGATTTCTATATCTAAGACAGACAACCGAATCTGCATCTTTTTTTTTTAATCACTCAAAAATACACAGCAAAGGCTTACACAGACACCTGTTGCTTAGTGGGTACTTGTACATTGGTTAATTTCTAGAAATTATTCTCCTTAGCCTTTCACTACCCATTAAACATATGTCTAATCTGTTCCCTGTTAGGAGTATTTGCAACACATCAGAACGCTTTTATCCCTTCACTTACCAGCATTATGTTCACAGACTGTGCTATCACGTTGACATGGGATTTCAGGATGTTAAGATTGAATGCAGGAGTTACTAGGCGCCGGTGCTGGGCCCACTTGGATCCGTTTAGACTCAGTAGTCCTTCTTCTTGAGACAGAAATGGCACAAAAGCATTTTATTAGAAGACATGGTGAAGCAGAGGTGAGGGACAGACACCATGAAGTGACTGTGACGCACAGTCATGACATAATGGAATATCAAAGCAGTGCTCAAATATTAAGATTGGGGTAAGTTTTTTTTGTTTTTTTTTTATCCTCACCCGAGGACATTTTTCCATTTTTTGTACAGATAGAGTGGGAGGGAGAGAGAGAGAGAGAAACATCGACGTGAAAGGGACACATCGAGTGGCTGCCACCCGCACGACCAACCAGGGCCGGGGACAAACTGCAACTGAAGTACATGCCCTTAGCGGGAACTGAACCTGGGTCTCTCTGGACCACAGGCCGACACTCTAACCGCTGAGCCAAACTGGTCAGGGCGATTGGGGTAAGTTTTGATGCTTACATCTGGGATGAATGTATTTAGCATTGTCAGAAAAACCCTACTTTATGGAGACTTATGACAGTGTTCATTCTGAAATCGTCAGTTACTACCTGTCAGTCACTTAACCTTCCTGAGGCTTGGTTATCTCAATGATCAAGAGTGATAATAAATATCTGCTTCACTGTGTTGCTGTGCAGATTAAATGTAGGTGTATGTATAAGGCACCTAGCCTGGTCTCTAGTTGACAGAAAAAGCACAGCAAATATTCATCTTCTCTCACTCCAAACCAATTCATAAACTATACTGTGAACACCAAGTTCACAAGGAACCGGACAAGAGTGTCCACTACATACCCAGTTATCTCCTCCCCGAGCCCTTGTCGGTGCCTAACACCCATAAACAATACAAACCGAAAACACTCATTAAGACTAATGCCTCTCAATCTTCTGTTAACAGAGAAATCATTAAAATTTTTGCTTTAAAAGAAACGTAAAGCTTATTAATATATCATTGCCATCATTCATTGAGGGCTTTCAACATACTAGGCTTGCAATGCTGAAAATACATGTTTTATTTAGTCCTCACAACAGTCCAGAGATGAAACTCTCTTCCTCATTTTCAAAGATGAGGAAACAGAGGCATAGAGAGATTAACTGACTTCCCCAAGACCACACTCAACTAGTCAGTGGGGGGCAGTATTCAAACCCAAGTCACTCTAAATCGAAAACCTATATTCTTTCATCTAATTTCTTTCTTGTCTACCATAAATACCAATTACATGACTAAAAGGCTTAATTTATCTGCTCATGGAATATTTCCAAACTGTACTTTGGAGCAAAATTTTACTGATTTGCATATGAAAATAGAGGAACTCCAAAAAGAAAGAGCCAAGAAAACAAGAAAGGATAAAATAAAGAATATGGATGGTGAGACTGCCATTTGAAAGACAGAGATGGGACAGATACACACACATGCTGCCTTGAGATGAGATTAGGGGGAGAGAAATGGATGGAGAGGGTTTCTAGGATTGTGCTGTGTTGACCACTCCCTCGCGAGCCCCCTCCCACCCATAACCTGCAGGGCAGATCCACCATACTCCTAATGCTTTTGAATTTCAATTTGAGTTGTTTTGAGATGCTCTGCTATAGAAAGGGGACTCCTGGGAAGAGAGTGGGTCACATACATACCCAGTAGTGGAACTAGGAACTTATGGAAGTACTTGGACTTGGGATCTGCAGAGGAAACACAGGACAGAATTAGATAAAAATGATCAAATTTGATGAAGGTTCTCTCATTTTCCCACATTAGCCACAAATCATCAGCAAAAGGGAGCTCAAGGCTCACTCCTTGCAGCCCTTGGCAGGTGTGGGGTTTGGGGAGATGGCAAAACTCTTGGTTCAGAAATCAGAGAACCACAAGCCCCATGAGGCAGACGGGTACACAAACCCAGACTCTCCTCATTTACACTTCTTACATCAGACACAGGGGTTACCTGCAGGTTACAACATTTCCAGATTAGGAGTTGGGATACATATCGTATGTTTTTTGGAAAGCAAATGACCTATTACAGCAGAAGTTGGGGAGACACCAGACAGCAAGGTACAAATGCCACCTGGGGTTCTTGTGAACTCTTCGCGTGGAGGTGTTTTACAACTCTTGTCCTCTAAGAGGCGAGCATGAGACCAATTCAAGAGAACTGGAGAAATGGGAAACATGGGAAGGGCTGTTTTCTTTTATTAGATTTTGTTCAGAGTAATAGAGACAATAGCACAGGGAAGAAAGATTGAATATCAGATCTTCATTTACAAAGTTGATGAAGCAAACACTGGATATTTTAATTTTACGCTATGAGATAATATACCATGGAAGCCTTGAAAAAGAACTGGATGGAGGAGTCAGAGGACTCGGGTCCCCAAAGGAAACACGGTTGAGAAATATATGCAAAAAACAAACAAACAAACAAACAAAATTTGGACCCCAGTGAAGGACTGCGGAAAGCAGTGATCTAGCATTCAGGTTACACACCGAACCAGCTCGGCAGAGCTACTTTGGAATCCCTCTGAAGACTTACACTCAAGAAAGGGGCTGGGACGGAGCTGAGGCAGGGGCAGGGGCTGGGGCTGGGGCTGGGGAGTGTTGCTGACTCTGAAATCACAAAACCAAAAGAAGCAAAGAAAGCCCCTGATGATCTGGTGGTGTCAGCTGGGCTTTAAGATTCAATGACCTAAAAGGGCCCAGGTAGGTCTGAACTAGACAGGGACTGGGGGACATGAGAATCCCCTTTAGGATTGGTGGGAAACCTCTCCACAGTCCCTCCATGTCTCTTAAAGGCCCAATACTAATCTTTGCTTCAGAATTCCTTTAGAATCCTGCCTGGGGGTTGTGCATATCAGTCCTAGGAGGATGAGGGTTCTGAGATTCATTCCTTTTCTTACCTGTTCTGCTCAGCAATGTCTTTGCATAGTCCGGGTCATAGATATAGAAAAATACCTCAAAGGGCCCAATCCAGGCAGGAAAGGCACATGGGTATTTTTCAACAACCTCGTCAAGTTTCTCCAGATGACCACTCCCAAATAACTGCAGTGAAAAAAGTGAAGGAAATTAGAGATGCCAACTAGTCTAGACTCATCCCTTCTTACAAACCCGAGCTGAGTTCAGGGCCTGGGAGGGGCCAGACCCTTTCTCTGGAAGTGGGTGGACATGCTTTTCTTAGGATTCTAAGCTTGGAGTATAATATTCTAAAACAGGATAGTGTATTTATCTTTTCAATATAAATATATGTTGCATCCCCAGACCAAGTCACTGTCAAATGACATACACTGTGGCTGTTTTTACAACTGGGAGGGTGAAGGGAGCCAAATCACAGACCCTGCCTCACCAGCCAAGGTCCCACACTTGGATTAGGAGAGTCATCTGGAAGCTGAAAGGGTTTTTTCCCCTATGTGGACAGCTAACTGTTAGCAGGTTGAATATGAGCCACCATCCAGTTCATCATTCCCTTTCTCTTTTTCTCTCTCTAATTATTGATGAGTGTTTTTTTATAATGACATAATAGTAACTGTTTCTCTCCCAAAACCTGCCAACTTCATCTACAAAGAAAACCCAATTATTTCACCATATAACGGTAGCAGGCTCATTTATACAGGTGTGTGAAGCGTGAAGCAAACTCAAATGCAAAACTCTCAGCTCCCATCATCTCTTCCCATGTGCTCCACCTGCCCCGGGGCAGCTCTTATTTAAGTATCACCTCCTCACGGTAAGTAAACTGCCAAGCCAAGACTATTCTGGCCCTGCAGACCAGCAGAAAGATAGGAAAGCAGGGTGTTTGAAATAACTGCATCACGGCCATCTGATCTCTCCCCGGTGCTGACAACCGACAACATTCCCTTTAGCCAGTGATTCTTATCTACCATGAAGTCAGCCCAGATGACTCAGTCTGGTGTGAAAGACTCATCATGTTTGACCGTAGTCCACACTAGTGAAAGGTTTCAAAAAAGACGGAGTCAAAATTACTGCCTTAAATAAAATATAGGATTTCCTGTGGCTTGATGCATGTAATCTATCTTCTCACTCTAGTTCAGATAACTGTGTGTCAGCTGTGTGCAGACATGATGTAAGGAATGGATCTAAAATATGCTACCACTTTTCCTGGATACAAGCTCTTGCTTTTAAAAGAATCCATTTAGCCCTGGCCAGTATGGCTCAGCAGTTGGAGCGTCGGCCTGTGGTACAGAGAGACCCGGGTTCGGTTCCCGCTAAGGGCACGTACCTCTGTTGCAGCTTGTCCCTGGCCCTGGTTGGTCGTGCGGGTGGCAACCACTCGATGTGTCCCTTCACATCGATGTTTCTCTCTCTCTCTCTTCCTCTCTCTCCCTCATGCTCTGTCTGAACAAAAAATGCAAAAATGTCCTCGGGTGAGGATAAAAAAAAAAAAAGAATCAATTTATTTCCAATGTGTGCTAAAATTGCCATCTAGGCTCCTCATGCCCAAGAATATGGCACTCTGTGCTGTGAAAGCAAGAAGCAAATAATTGTTTTTGTATTATAACAAGAAAAACAATCTCACATGTAAAACTAAAAATAAAATTTTTAAACCCTCTCAGCTACCAACATTTATAAATCAGAGTACAAATACTACCAGTAGAAATTAACTTTTTGCCTAATAAGTAGACTACTAATGGCTCATTTAAATAGTTCCACTAAATCACTGACAATAAGATTCATCTGTATCCATCTCTTATATCGAGTTGGGTGGGGAAGGTGGGGAGACCTGTATGTGTGTGTCTGGGTGTGCTCAGCTACAGACTTGAGCATGTTCATGGGGATCCTGACCCACATAAAACCCTAAGGCTGGCAAGTTCTTATTTGTGTGACCAAAACCACAGAATTTGCCACGTGATTGTTTGTTCTTACCCACAGAAGAGGTGGAAAACTTTGGCTCCTAATTTCCTCTATTACCAGCTGACACCTCTAATCCATTAAGTGCCCTCTGGATAGTTTAGGGTCCCTAAAAGATTGAGGCTATTGAAACCAGATCCGTAGACTCTATCTTGCTCTCATTCTGACATTCAAGCCAGTGACAAGCACCCACCAACACCATGAGTGATATTCATTCATTTGCAAAAAATAAACAGATGACTTTATTAAGTGCCTATTATGTGCACCAAGTGAGAGTGCAATAGATACACAGAAGGAGGACTTGGTTTTTCCTACTCAGGTTCCAAAACAATTTAATGGGGGAAAGAATAGTCTTTTCAACAAATGGTGCTAAGATAACTGGATATCCACATGCCAAAGAATGAAGTTGAATCCTTACCTCACACAACATATAAAACTCAAAATGGCCCTGGCCAGTTTGGCTCAGCGGTTAGAGCATCGGCCTGCGGTCCGGAGAGACCCGGGTTCGGTTCCTGCTAAGGGCATGTACCTCGGTTGCAGTTTGTCCCCGGCCCTGGTTGGTCGTGTGGGTGGCAGCCACTTGATGTGTCCCTTTCACATCGATGTTTCTCTCACTCTGTTCCTCTCTCTCCCTCCCACTCTACCTGAACAAAAAATAGAAAAATGTCCTCAGGTGAGGATTAAAAAACAAAAAAAACTCAAAATGGATCAGAGATCTAAATGAAAGAGCTAAAACTATAAAACTCTTAAGAGAATTAATAAGGATTTAACCTTGAATTTGGCGATGGCTTCTTGGATATGACAACAAAAGCACAAACAACAAAAGAAAAAAAAAGATAAATTGGATTTCTTTGTAGTCTTAAGCCACTAAGTTTTAGGATTTTAAAATACTTGTTCTTGAACCCTTGTCTTAGGGTCTTATTCTGGGAAAATCTAAACTAAGACAAATAGTATACACAAAAATTTCCAAGAACTGATGAATAGGAGGTTCCAGATCAAAAAGATTGCTGACCAAAGCATCAGGGATAATAACTGAAAAAATAAACAAACAAAAAATTCTAAGTGCCACACCTAAGTACATCATAATTAAATATCAGAACACCAGAGGCAAAGTGAAGATTTTAAAGCTGTTGCGGGGAGAGAAAAGGGTCACATAATAAGGATTAATAAACAGATAGATGGGATAATTCTGGAAAGATGGCAAACTAGAGAGCACCAGTAATCTGTCTCCCCACCTAGACAACCATTGTACTGGCAAAACTTGTCTGATGTACCTATTTTGTAACTCTGGAACCTATTAAAGGCTTGCAACTTCCAGGGGAAAGTCTTGGACTGTATATTGCAGTTAATTTTTGTCAATTTCAGCTCTTCACACAGTAGCAGCTACCCATTCCTCACCCCCAGTCCCATAGCAAGCAGTTGCAGGTATTCTTGAAACAGCTTGGACACAGTGAGCGGGACACAGTGGGGAGAAGCACCCTGGCCTACAAATATTGGGGATTAGTGTTGTCATCATTGATTGCTTCTGACCACAGAGGGGCACACAAAGAGGCTAATGTTCATTTTTGTTGCACCTCTCTCCATTGTTGCAAGCCCCCTTGCTCTCACCAACTGAAGTGACTTCTAGGGAATTAAAAACAAAACAAAACAAAACAAAACAAAAAAAACAGTGCCTTTCTCTTCTGGTCAGTGTTCTCTTTTTTCTTGTTTGAGAACTAGACATTAAAACTAGGACATTCAATAGCAATTGTATGTATAAGGAAAATTAGAAAGTGGCCACACATTTCCAAGGAAAAGCACAGGCTAAGAAAAAATCTGAGAAGACATTATTATACAGAGAGCTTACAACAATAAAAACAAAAAACAAAAAAAACTACTCCCCTCCCCCAGAAAACCCTGGGGAAGGGAGAGAGAAAAACAAAACAAAACTACAAGAACAAGAAAATATGGCCTATTCAAAAGAAAAAAATTAAATAAACAGAAACTTTCTCTAAAAAAGACCCAAGGACAGCACTACTAGACAAAGACTTCAAAAACAAACAAACAAAAAAAACTGTGTTACAGATGTTAAAGAACTAAAGAAAGATGTGAAGAAAATTTTAAAAAGTGATATATGAACAAAACACAGTATCAATAAAGAGATAGAAAACCTAAAAATGCTGGAGATTAAAAGTACAATATTGGAGATGAAAATCTCACTAGAGTGATTCAAAGGCAGATATCATCAGAAAGAAAAAAATCAACGAACATGAAGATAGAATAATGGGAATTATTGAGTCTGAGAAACAGAAAGAAAAATAAATAAAGTGAATAGAGCTTAGGGGACTTATGGCACACCATGAAGCCAACCAACATACAGTCTCAGAAGGAGAAGAGAGAGAGAGAAAGGGATAGAAGAATATTTGAAGCGATAATGGTTAAAATTTTCCCAAATTTGATTAAATACATGAATATAGACATCTAAGAAGCTCAGGGAACTTCAAGTAAGATGAACTCAAAGAGATCCACCCTGAGACACATTACAATCAAACTTTTGAAAGACAAAAACAAAAAGAGAGCCTTGACAGCAGCAAGAGAGAAGTGGCCCTTTACATACAAGGGATTCTCAATAAAATTATCAGCAGATTTCTTGTCAAAACTTTGAAGAGCAGAAGACAGTGGGCTGATATAGTCAAATTGCTTAACACACACACACACTCAACAGCAAGAACAGTTAACTGCCCTGGCCACTTTGGCTCAGTGGTAGGAGTGTCAGTCCGAGGACCAAAGAGTCACAGCTTTTATTCTAGTCAAGGGCATGTACCTCAGTAGCAGTTGGGTCCCTGGCCCTGGTTGGGATTGTGTGGGAGACAGCCAATTGATGTGTCTCTCTCACACTGATGTTTCTCTCTCTCTCTCTCTCTCTCTCTCTCTCTCTCTCTCTCTTCCTCCCTCCCACTCTAAAGATAAATGGAAAAATATCCTCAAGTGAGGATTAAAAAACAGAAAATAAAAAAATATTTTTTTTAAAAAAAGAACTGTTAACCAAGAGCCCTATATCCAGCAAAATTGTCCTTCAAAATTGAGGAAGACATTTAGACATTCCCAGATAGACAAAAGCCGAGGGAACTTTTTATCACTAGATCTGCCCTGTAAGAAATGCTCAACGGAGAAATGAAAGGACACTGGTAAGTAACCCAAAGCCATATGAAGAAAAAAGATCCCAATAAAGGTAAATGCACAGGCAGTTATAAAACCTAGTATTATTAAATAGTGGTTTGTAACTCGTTTTTTGTTTTCTATATGATTTTAGAAAATAATGCATTTAGAGGAAGCAGTAGTTTATGTTTTTAATGAAATAAGAATCAGGGGTAAGGGTGGATTTAGATAACAGGAGAGATCAAAAGCCTTCCTCTACCTTACAGAGTTAAATCAGTCAATATATTTTGAGTGATTGGCTGGGGTTGCTCCCTGCTTCACAAGAATCTTAGGAAAAGAAAGTTAATTTCTCTATTTGGAATGGCCTAATATTTGGCAACTATTGTGCCCAATTTTGCACATTTTCTGCAATTAATAAATATTATTTAGGATAATAGTTCCTAAAAACATGTTTTGACAATACATGTGGAAGGCTTTTTAAAATGCAGTACATAAATGCAAGCGATTGGTGAAGCAGAGACAGACCTGAGTTTACACCACGTTTTCTTTTCCCGGATTCAGTCTTTGAAATAGCCCCCTCCCAGCCGCCAAAGCTTCCTCTTTAGTGGTTCCAGGGAGTTTCCCTTTTCCTGTAGAGCTTTGAGGGAGCAACTCTAGAATAATTAAAAGATGCGGAGAGCCAAAGGCTGGGACAGAGAGGTCTGTGCAGAATGGAAGGATGGGAGGAAGGGAAGGAAGCAGTCTCCTCTCTGCCTGCCTAGTTTCCAGCATCCTCCTTCGCCCCTCCCTTGTGTCTACCTTCTGGTTCCCGGTTAGCCAGTGTGGGGGTGGCCCAGAGAAGGCGCGCAGATCTCGAAGCAGCTGCTGCCTCCTCATGTAGAGCTTGACAACCTGCAGCAGCCCCAGGGTCAGAAAGAACACGATCACCAGGTACAAGGGCCTCGCCCAGCGCGTCTCCAGCCAGGAAGACTCCATCACTCTGCGCTGCGGACTGCCGGCAGTCTCCAGGGACCGGGAGAGGATGAGCTTTCTGAAGCCCGGGCTTGGGAGGATCACCCAGCCCACTGCGTCTCCGAGCCCTCCCAGAAGCTCCGTCCTTGCCCGGGAAGGAGAAAGAGCGACGGGAGCGGCAACTCCGGCGTGGCCAGAGGAGGCAGGCGCAAGTTGCAAGTACCCGGATTTCTAACCCTTTATCAACTGATGCAAATCTTCACTCATGATGACTTCTGGTACCCTCCCAGACTGTCATATTTCAAGCGTGACAATGATCAATCAAGGGAAATTTGAATTTCAGTTTTGAAATAATGCCAAGGTTGAAGTCATCACTTTACTTCATTGCCACAAATAAACGGTAAACTGCTATGCAAAAAAACCTTTCCACTCTGAAATTATATCAAAACCCACATGGGTCTGTGGGCTGAGGGTGGGCACGTATAGTCATTAAATTTGTATGGTGTGGCCTGTCCTGTGATGCACTGGTAAACGTTTACACTTGGTACTCACTATGATTTCTAGTGTTCGAGGATGTTCAGCATGTCCTATTTCAAGTTGCCAACAGAAGACCCTGACCCTTGAATTGGGAAGAGATGCAAAGTAGCATACCATTGTATAGTAGTTCCACCATACAGATGTGATCAGGAACCGCAACATAATTTGTAGGTCAGGGTGCAAAATGAATTCAACAATAAATTGTTAAAAATGTATTAAAAGATAACAACAGCAGAGCATTAAACCAAACGCACACCCTTTTGAGTACAAGGTCCTGTGTGACCTCTCAGGTTCCATGCCCATGAAGCAAGCAGTGGACACAAGAGACTTAAATAACCTCAAGGGCATACATAATAGTAAATATATTAAAGTAGTTAGAAAGTAATAAGTTGTTGTTTTTTTACCTAGTAGGTGGTAAAGTAGGATCCAACAGACTCAACTTCCCAAGTTGTAGTCTCCCACTCCCAGCCTTCTTTATGAGCATTGTCCACAATTCATTCATTCATTCATTCATTCATTCATTCATTCATGGTAAACTAAGAAAGGCACATGCTAGGTGTTGGATTTATAGCTATGAACAGTAAACTCAATCTCTGTTACAACTTCCTATTGTCCTCACTGTCACTGCCTTCCACTCCCCAGGCATCCACCCCAGTCTTGGGAGCCTGGCAGGGTTTATTTGGCAGATGAATAGTTACAACAGAATCCAATGGTGATGACTTCATCTTGACCAAGTACTGGTGCCTTGAATGTTCCATTTAGCTCCACACTTTGTTTCAGTTCCCTCCTCCCTAGACCTTCCCACCTCTTGCCTACCTTTATCCCTCAGTTATAAGTTATTTGGCAGTATCTCAGAATCTTATGGCTTTTACAATAATGCCAAGGGCATTGGCAAGCAAGTTGTAAAAATATTGAGAAACCAGTGAAATTTACATGGCAGGTTCCATGCGGAGGTCCAAGAACACATTATACCATCCTTTTCTGCAATGGCCTGGAGGTAGGAGAATGGCAACGCTCAGGAAGGAGGCACAGAGTCAGTCCCCACGCTCACTGCCGCCTCCACACGCTGGCCAGTGCTGGGCAATGCCAGGAAACAAAGAAAGATGAAGGGTACGCCTTTCCTTGGGACAGTTCACAACCTGGTAGAAGGGATAGATAGGTAAGCAAAGAGACACAGTATAATGGATAAATGATACAATTGGAAGGATCCGAATGGATTATTTGAACGCATTCTATCTAATGAATAATGAAATTAAATCCAAAAAAGAAAAGCAGATTGCCTTTAGCCCCTTCTCTTCAGACTAAGAATCCAAAGGTCCTTTCTCATTTTCTCCTTGTCACCTCTGAGCCACACCAGATGTGTTAATTTCCCTAGTTCCTTTGGATGACACAAAAAGTGAATCCGGGAAACCTCTGAATGTGTCCAATTGTGTTTCCCTGTTACCTTGAGTAATTCCCATATTTTAAAAACTGGATAAAGAAGTGTGAGCCTCCAGATGAGGAACAGGACAAGCAGAGAGGTGTGAGAGGAACCAGGAGCACCGAGTGCTGTGGACTACAGAGAACAGTGAGACACTTGAAATAAAAGAGGAATGTCGTGTGCCTTGAGACAAGCATCATGTTTGAAATGTGTTCACTGGAATCAGTGTCATGGAAGTCAGTTGTAACCATAGAAAGAGCTGTTGAAATGATAGATACAGAAGCCAAAATAAAGAGATTTGAGAAGTGAATGTGATGGCGATTAATTGAGACTGTGGAGAAAGTATTAACAACTCTGAAAACTTTGGTTGTGAAAAAGAGTAGAGTTAGGATGTTATCCAGATAGGGATTTGAGAGTAGAAGGAAGTTAAGGGCTCTCTTTCTCTTCTCTCCCATTTCTTGAAGAGTAAGAGAGGTTGGAATCTGTAGTGCAGTCACTGACCTTGAAGTAGAAGGAAGAAGGAAAGGTTGGGGTAGATGTAGAGTTTCACATTTTGGGGTATTTCATACCACAACTAAGAAAAGCACAAAATGTAAATACCATTCAAAAATCTTCCTTTTATAGACAGTTTTGAATTGTATTAATTCAACTTTACAACTTCAAAATCCAGTCTTTCAACAGAAAACCCAGAAATGGACCCAAGACATTATGCTCAATTAATATTTGACAAAGGAGGCAAAAGTATACAATGGAGTAAAGACAGCTTCTTTAATAAATGGTGTTGGAAAATTAGACAGCTACATGCAAAAAAATGAAACTAGACCATCAACTTACACCCTACACAAAAATAAACTCAAAATGGATAAAAGACTTAAATGTGACCCAGGAATCCATAAAAATCCTAAAACAAAATGTAGGCAACAAAATTTGAACATCATACACAGCAGAATTTTCACTGATATATCACCTAAGGCAACAGAAACAAAGGAGAAAATGAACACATGGGACTACATCAAACTCAAAAGCTTCTGCACAGCAAAAGAAACAACCATCAAAATGGAAAGGCAACCCATTGTATGGGAGAGCATCATTGCCAATGATACATCAGATAAGGGGTCAATTTCCAAAATATATAGACTACTCATACAACTCAACAAAAGGAAGACAAAGAACCCAATTAAAAAATGGGCAGAGAAACTAAATAGACACCTCTCCAAACAGGACATAAAAATGGCCAAGAGACATATGAAGAAATTCTCAACATCACTAATCATCAGAGAGATGCAAATTAAAACAGCTATGAGGTATCACCTCACGCCTGTCAGAATGGCCGCCATCAACATATCATCATACAACAAGTGTTGGCGAGGGTGTGGAGAAAAGGGGACTCTAGTACACTGCTGGTGGGAATGCAGACTGGTGCAGTCACTATGGAAAACAATATGGCGTTACCTCAAAAAATTAAAAATTGAACTTCCATTTGACCCAGTGATCCCACTTCTAGGAATATACCCTAAGAAGTCTCAAACACCAATCAGAAAGAATGTATGTACCCCCATGTTAATAGCAGCACTATTTACAATAGTTAAGATCTGGAAACAGCCCAATGTCCATCAGTAGATGAATGGATAACAAAGCTGTGGTACATATACACAACGGAGTACTATGCAGCGGTAAGAAAAAAAGATCTCTTATTCTTTGAGACGACATGAAGGGACCTGGAAAGTGTTATCCTAAGCGAAACAAGCCAAGCAGAAAAAGACAAATACCACATGATCTCACTTATTTGTGGAATATAATTAACATAACCGTCTGAGGAATAGGGTAGACCCAGAGACGTGGAAGTGGGGTACAGACTGACAACCCTTAAAGAGGGAGTGGTGGGGGAGGGAAGAGATAAACCACAGAACTTATATGCATGTACACATAACCAATGGACATGGACAACAAAGCTGAGGACAGCGTGGGAGGGATGGGGAGGAGGGTGTCAATGGGGTAAAAAAGGAGAAACATCTGTAACAAAAATTTTTTTTAATCTAGTCTTTCTCTTTTTAATATAAATATGCCAACTGAAAATAGTTTAATTTAAGAGCACTTTGGCCATGGCCAGTTTGGCTCAGCAGTTAGAGCATTGACCTGCGGTCCGGAGAGACCTGGGTTCGGTTCCTGCTAAGGGTACGTACTTCAGTTGCAGTTTGTCCCCGGCCCTGGTTGGTCGTGCAGGTGGCAGCCACTCGATGTGTCCCTTCACGTCGATGTTTCTCACTCTCTCTCCCTTCCTCTTTCTCCCTCCCATTCTATCTGTACAAAAAATGGAAAAATATCCTCGGGTGAGGATAAAAAAAAAAAAGAGCACATTGAAGTCATCTGATCAATAATACACTTTGTTGATGGAGCATAAATGAATCAGGAGGCTTTGGCTAGAAATAAGTGACAAAGATTAATTCAAGGGTCTTAGGGTTTGCAAACCAGAATTGCAAATAGGAGTGTTCCAAAGAAGAAAGAAAAGCTGAGAGTTCTTACAGTAAAAAGTACATTTTGGGGAAGGATCAGCCCTGCATTCTTAGCCTCTGATTTGTCTGAGATGATAAACTTTCAGATGTCCAATTTTCTAAATAATGGATGTCAGGTGGTCTGGAGATATCAACATACTTTTCTTAGTCCTTCAGAGGGTAATCAGAGGGTTATCTATAGAAGATATGGATATAAATATAGATTATATAGATATACATATACATATACATTTATGGAGTTCAAAACTTTAAGTTCCCAGGCAAGCTAAAGTAAGAGTAGACTCATTTCCTCATGCCTTGACCTACTTGATTCTGGTAATTTAGTAGCTTGAGGATAGTGACTTCATTTTATTTCTTCACTCTTCTTCTCAACTTGAATAATATTGAGTTAAATAAATTCTCAATAGTACATTAAACAAATGCCTTCAGCAATCTCTCACATTTGTTTGAATTGGGTGCAATTCAAGAAATATTTTTATCTGAGCATCAGTGAGAACATCGGGTATTACAGCCTCTGATAAGCTAGACTCATCTGGAATAATAATAACATCAAA